ATATATATATATATATATATAATGATAATAAAGATAACTAGTCCCTCTAAGTTGGGTAACTCTTACCCGGTTACTTAGCTTAACGGCGGTTGAGTCTCAATTATTGTCCCAAATGGGACAAATAAACGTCAATGCGTGTAAAAAGAAAAAAATAGCAAAAAGGTGCCTTGAGAAAAAATTTCTTGATCGATCTTGTGTATGCGAGGGAAGAATAATTGTGAATGCCTTAATCCGATTGTCCGAAGAAAAGGGGGATAAAATTCGAAAAAGTGACTTAATCCCAAAACATAGTTGGAGAGGTGGTCGAAAGAGGGATTTAGGTTAATGGTTTTATCGCAGTTTATGTTCTTGTAATACTTTCTTTAACGTATGATTACCAAAGGAACTAGGACTAGCCGATCAAAACGAAAGCTCACGTAAAAGTACCGACACACTTTATTTTCATAAGCTTTTCATTTGAATTACATTGCTTGGTTCAATATTGTGTTATGCAAGCTTTGTTACTTGAGGACAAGCAATGATCTAATTTGGGGGAATTTGATAAGTGGCTTTTATATCGTTTTATTTGTACTTTTTACTCATAATTTGTCATGTTTTGTTTACTTTTCTATACTTTTTCTACGTTTTATGCTTTGGTACAATGTTTCTTCCATTTCCAAATCTTTATAATCATATCGGAAGGAAAGGAGATCAAATCGGGTGAAAGACGAAGAAAAATGTGAGAGTCGAGCTTCCCTAATACAAAAACCAAGGGGTTGTTACAGGTTCCTGTAATGTGTATTACGACCCGTAACAACATGAATGCAAAAGAACTTCTTTGTTGCATGGACAACCAAATTCTTAGGGCATGTTACGGGTGCCCGTAATGCGTATTACAACCCGTAACAGGCTAGCGTACTTTCATTATTTTGTTTCCTTTCTCGGCTCGATTCTTTTCCATTTGGGATTTCCAACATATCGCTGATCAGATGGACATTGTATTAATGGAGCATTGACTGAAATTTATTTCATGTTTTGTTTGAATGTTATAAAACTCATAGGTAGTGAGAGTTTGAGGCATCCAGTTTTAAATTTCCATTCTTATTTTACGCTTTCATTCCGCAATTTTGTACAAGTCTCCATTGGAGCAGATGGATCAAGTTTATAATTCAAGAATTGTTTTTTCATTAATCAGGTTCTCAATTACTTTAATCATTCATTTATTGATTATGTCTCTATTCGCGATTGTTATTTTAATTAGTTTGTTCATGAACATGAGTGAGTAGTCCTCTAGGGACTAAGGGTTATGAACACTATCGTCTGATTATTTGCATGACCTAGGCTAGTTGTATGAATTTCGTACTCTTTATTTTAAAAGTCTGAGTGTTTTTAAAACTTGCTACGAGAGTAGGAGTATTGCCTTTAGGTATTTGACTTGTGCCGAAAAGGTATAAGCAAGACCGAAAAGTTGATTTTTAAACAGTTAAATCCGAGTCACGAAAGTGATCGGGTGAAATTGAGAAAGATCCCATCTTTAATAGCTGTGCAAAAGTAAAGACTGCTAACGAACGTTCCTGCGCGAGTGAAAGCCGACGAACGTCCCGTTCGTTAGAGGTATGGCAATACGCTGGCGAAAGTAGGTGTTGCTATTTTAACTATTTTTCTATAATTTGAGTCAGAGTTCCCGTAATATAAATGTATAGGTCATGTGGTGAAGTCTAAGATAGGAGTCATATCCCTATATCATACTTGCTTTATACAATTTTTACCTGTTTTAAGCTGCTTTGCTATAATTATTTTTCAAAAAAGTTGTTTTGACTTAAGTGCTTTTTCACTTAAGTTTGTTTATTTCCAACTTTTCGATTGCTCTAGCTTTACATCGATAAAATAGAAACCGGTAATTTACCATTGGTCCTTGTGGTTCGATATCTTTTTTTTACTACTTTGACACGTGTCGTACGCTTGCGGCGTGTCAAGTTTTTGGCGCCGTTGTCGGGGACCAGTGGCGTTAATATTGGGTTTCTATTTGATCACTGTAGATACTAGGGTCTTATTTTTCTGTTTATGAGAAGAACGCATTATGCGGATAATTCAGCTGGACCCGTTGACGAGATCGAGCGTTTCTTACGAGAACGACGCCGAGCTCAAAGACAGCCTCTGATGGCTGCCCCTGTTGATACCAAACCTCATGAAGGATTACACGATTCCAACGGATGAGGAACCGCGTTGTAGAATTGTACACCCGTCTATCGAGGCAAACAATTTTGAACTTAAACTATCGTTGATAGGTATGGTTCAGCAAAACCGGTTTTCTAGATTACCTTCGGAAAATCCAAACCTTCACCTATCGATATTTGTTGACAATTATGGTACAGTGAAAGCTAATGGCGTCGACCAAAACGTCATTCACCTTAGACTTTTCTCCTTCTCCCTAAGAGATCGAGCACGAGCTTTGCTCCAATCTCTACCTGCCAACTATATTACTTCTTGGCCTCTGTTGAAAGCCGCCACATGAAAATATAAAAATGTCATCAGTTTTCAAAAATGTATCTTGAGACGCACCTTATGCACACACAACTCATTCGTTTTTGAACCACACCTCAATTTTATGACTTAATTTATTTCAAAAATACATTTTTGAAATGTCTCCAAAAATATATTTTCAGAACTCACAAAAACACTTATATTCTATGATTACTCACAATAATATCATATAGGATCTAAGTGTTTTTGGGAGTTGCAGAAATATATTTTCTGAGACATTTCGGGAATTAATGTTGGAAATGAGTCGAGTTGAATCGAACTCGCCTTAATTCGGCTCAACTCGTTAAGAATTGGTTCAACTCAAATCTCAGTTCGCGTTTGACACATACTTTTTTTAAAGCTCAAACTCGACTCGTTAAAAGTTCACGAACAATTCGGTTCATCTCGTTAGGTTCAACTCACTTGCTTCACGGACTTAAAAGTCATTTTTAAGGCTATTTCATTTTTATATGTTTGACATTTTAAATTATTTTTTTTAAAAAAAGAAAATATTAAAATAAAACAAAAATTATGAGTATGAAATTTAACTTTGTTTCAAAAATCTACTCATTCAAAAACTACACAGCTTTCGAGAGACACATTTGAAAATCTAATTCAAAAAACACTCAATTGAAACTTAAATTTGTCTCAAAAGTACATAACTTTATCAAATATTTAGAAAACTTACAAATTTAATGGAATAGTACACAAAAAATTACTAAAAATTGATACATTTTCATCATATATTTCTTGTCATAACTAATACATACGAGACAATATAAGGTTAAGATTTTGAGTAAATATTTAAACTTACTCTTAAAAATAATATAATCATTCCATATATATATAATCAAGTTGACTTATAAATCTAACGAATCAAATTATGTATAGTTTAAATTCAACTCATTTAGTTAATAAATATATTTTTCGCTCATATTCAGCTCATTTGGTTCATGAATTTACTTCAACGATTTAATTGTCGAACCAGTTGGTTGGTTTGGTTCATTGTCAGCCTATTTACCGTGAAAATTGGTAAACAACCGATGGTCTCCAAATATTAGTTAACTTACAGGATCAACTAGTGAATCCTAAGACATGTGCTAATGCTTTTTAAACTAAAGTTTGAGAGACAATGAAAACTTCGACAGTATTCGTGATTGAAAAATAGTTTAATTTGATAATAAAAGAAAGTAAAACGCGTTGAAAGAAACTTGTGCAATAAATAAGATAAATTTATGGATAAAAGTATAAACTGAATTTGATTAAATTGTAACAAAAAGGTGTTTCATCACACGTACATTTCTCAATAACTCATTTCTCTACACACTGGGTGCTTTAGTAATTTTAGTGACTTGTACAAACTTAATCACGCATGAAATCTTATCACTAAGACCTCTTATTTATATTGAATCGAAATAATTGTCTCTAACGGTCTTTCTCTTAAAACAAGACAAGTGGCGTTCGGCATGTCTTCACTTCCTTAATGTGTTTCCTGTGTCTTCTCTTGAAACTGGATAAGAACAAAATCTCCTTCTTTATTCAAATTCAAACTTCAAATTGAAGACACCATCAATGGCATCTTCGTCGAACTACACCTTCAAACTTAGAAAATTTCTCTAAGTCCAAACAACCCTTCATTCTAGCACAGAGATCGCTTCGACTAGACTTCCATAACTATATTGCCATATCGAAGTCTGCCATAACTTCACAAAAATGTATTTCCCTTATTTATTTCACTAATTCATACCATACGCCGAAATTATGATCTAACACAACCCTACCAAAAATGTATTTCTAAAATAAATAAAATCATAAAATTGAAGTGTCTCAAAAACGAATAAATTGTGTAAACGACCAGAGATACATCTCCAAAATCTGAGAGGCATTTTCGATTTTCTATGGGGTGTTTTTCCATCCAGCAAGATGGAATAAGAAATTCCCGTTTTGTTTAGCTGCTTTAAAGGGCCATATAAGAATTTGACCCAAGCTTACAAATGAACCATGAGGATGAGACAGAACTAGCATTTCAGAAGCACATCCCACATGGCAGACGATATGGGCCATGGAGAACAAGTATAGGATGTTCGGTTTAGTTTTATGAGAAGGTCAAATGGGATTTTTGACCAAGCTTAAATGTAACATGTGGTAGTAGCTTTGATAAAAAGTGCTTCAAGAAGCGCTTTCTTGTTTGCTTCCATGGAAATCTAAACCAAACAAGCTATAATCATCAAATTACATTGTATGGTTATGTAGAGAAGTTCATAATGAAATTTGAAAGAGTACTTTTGTTATTTTTGTCAATCTCCATTCAAGGATTTCTTACATCATAAGGTGGTGAAGAAAATAGAAACTAGGTATTCAGCTTACCTGTGATTTATATGATGTAGTGATAATAGTCATACATTTTGTTTAGTATACAAATGTTTGCAGATAGTACAAGAAAGATAGGTGAAGCTTCCCACCCATTGATTCCATCTCAACCATGAACATGCCTTTGATTAAGCATTCTCATGCTCCTTGCAAGGAACATTGTTGCAGCGGCAAACAGGTCTACCAGAAGCTTCCCACCCATTGAAGCCACGTTCCAAGACCATAATGTTCTTTATACCAACATCTTCCTTGTTCTCTTCAAGATAATTGACAAGCTTCCTTGCACAACTTGGGCCTCGAACCTTTAAATAGTTCATACCAATTTCAGTTTAGATACATTATGGTATTATGCAAAAAGGGTATAGGAAGATATTCATGTTCTCATTACCAAAAAAAAACTTTTCAAATGTCCTGACTCATTAGAAACTTGTTTCTCACAATCTGTAAATATAAAAATAACTATGCACGTCCAAAAAAATTGCTAGCGATTAGTGTGTGGAAGTGCATATAAGAAGCTGATCAATCAAACATGTAAACATTGACATTTTATAACAAGATCATCCTAAAAACAGAAATCAGATACGGTGTGGAAAATTTTAACGCCGCAGTTTGCCTAAGCAGTGGAATGTGGTTAAAAAAACAATTGCAGCCTATATTCCGAAAGTAGTTCTAATTGTCTGAAACCATTGCAGCCTATATTCCTCCCAAACCCAAGGCTTTCCACTGTACTCCATCCTCAATTTTCTTTCGGCCAACTACATCCCCTATTTAAACTCCTACCTTTTAATCAATCTACTTTATTTCTACACTACAGTTAGTCAGATGCAAGCATGCTGAGGAAAACATCAAACTAGGAAACAATATCTTGCTAAAGGGATTGCTCATAAAGAAATTTTTATAGCTGTCATTTGAGTCTAGGGAAGCGGTGAAAAGCTGGATAAAACAACGTCATAAAACAACCCACAGGTAAATTCCACTCCATCCTCATTTTACACACATCAGGACTTTCCAAATATCTTGGTTTAAGTACAACCTGTAGATGTCTCGCTAACCTACATCAACAGACAGTTTTTAACCTATGACACACATAACCATGTCAACTGTCAACAACCAACTTTCTCAAAAGCTTGCCATTTTCATTGGAGAAACAGGAATAGTTTTACATCCTCACACAACATTCCTAAGGCTCGGTTTGGGAGGAAAGCAGGGAAGTATTGAAAAAGTGAAGGATGAAGTGGACAAAATGAAGGGTTAGGGAGGACTTTGAAGGCTTATTTCTCTTCAGAATACAAAATCTTCCTATTTTGAGAGAACTAAAAAAAAATTATTGGAGGAGAATTCAGATAAATTCTCCAAACACAATATTTAATAATCTCACTATATAATCATATATAATAAAGTTTACACATAAATAGAAGGCAAACAGCAACAAGCTGCGCAACCTTTTTTTTAATGGCAAAACCAATCCTCTAAAAAACTACCTCCATTGACCTATCCATTGTCATAGGAGATACAACATTGTTATTCACACGTCTTTATTGGCCATTCTATACAAAAACATTGTCATCCGAAACCGACCACTTAAACCTGTCATGGCCAACGGGTTAACCCGAACTGTGCCGGCTGGATTTGAAAATTCTGTCCAGCCCTAAATAGCATCACTAATTATACTAGGTCAATGATCAACTCTTCCAAAAACAATCAGGTGAAGGATCATGAATAGTTAATGGTTTTTTACATCACTAACAACATCCTCAAATTCTGTAACTCCAATATCAGATGTTAAAAGTAGTGCTACCAGTCGAAAACCTAAACAATTTTCAGTCATGCCATGCTCAAATTCGTCGCAATAAACATATAGATCTAAACAAAAGAGGAGTGGGGAGTGGAGTTGACCTGACTTAGAGCACAGTGAAAGACGAGCGTGTCTTTGCCTTTAACATCATGAATAAGCTTGGAAATGTTTTGGTCGAAACCGTCGCTAGCGTAATGAAGAGAACCGGATATGTGACCGTCGTGAGTCCTCTCGTCGTCTCTGACATCGACGACGGCGATGGTCGGAAGGCGTTTGAGAGAGACAAGCTGCGAGCCAGTGACATAGGAGATACTACGAGCCATCTCCTCTCTTCTTCGCTGTTATTCCTCCGCTGATCACTCTTTCCGATTCCATGCCTCTTCTCTCACTGACTTTTATTTTGGACCAAACTTGCTACCGAACCAGATGTATCGCCTAACCCGGTTTTAGAAATCGAACTGGGTTGACCCAAAAAAGTCGAACCGATTTGCGTAGTATCAAGTATGATCAAATGGTTATTTATTGAACCCGGTTAAACAACAATCTCTACTAAAATAATAGTGTAAATTAAGTTGAGTAAAATTTAGAGGAAATATCTCATCTTAAATTATATTTGTCTAAATAAATAAAAAATATATGATTTAAAATTTGATTAAAAAATTTTATTATTCTATAATTTATGGAAAGATAAATTTAATCTCTCGAATTTGTTATGGAAATATTATGACCGATTATAAGAATTAAGATTCAAGTTAATCAATAGTTTGGTATCATGATTCTCACCGCAACAGTGTCCCCGTAGGATCAAGAGTTCGCTCGCACACACAAGAGCGGACCCTTGTCTTCTTGTCTCGAGTTTAGGAGCCGCACTTATACCTTAGTGCACCCATGTGGTCGCGGTGCGAATAGGTTGTGGGAAGTGTTTAACTATAGTATTGTTTAAGCTTTTCATCGTTCCATAGTCGAGCAAGTTCCTTCCCATACAGGTTTTCAAGGTAGTAAGCTCTGGTCCCTATTTTTGCATGGACGCGATAAGGGTCCTCCCAGTTTGCGGCAAGCTTGTCTTCGTGTAAATCTTTCTGGTTCCTTTGTAAGACTAGGGTGCCTACCTAAAATTCGTGCTTGATGACTTTGTGGTCACGTTGCAAAGTTATCTTCTGTTTGAGTGAGGCTTCGCGGAGGGGTTCCCCCGAACGGATCTCTTCGACTAGGTCGAGTTCTTCCCTTAGGGCCTCGTCGTTGGTCTCCTCGTCGATGGGGAACTCAATCCTCCTTGAGGGTTCCTTTATTTCTACCGGAATGACTGCCTCAGTTCCGTAGGTCAGTTGGAATAGGGTCTCCCATGTGCTCGAGTGTGGGGTCGTTCTGTAGGTCCAGAGCATGTTGTGCAACTCCTCGACCCACCTTTTCTTGGCGTCGCCCAATCTTCCTTTTAGCCCTCGTAGGATCACTTTGTTCGCAGCTTTGGCCTGCCTGTTCATCTATAGGTTCTCGACCAATGTGAAGTGTTTCTTCGTGCCCAGCTTAGTAACGAAGTCCTAGAAGTTCTTGTTGGTGAATTATGTTCCGTTGTCACTAACGATTGCTTGTGGTACGTCGAACTGGGCAAGATATTCCTTTTGTAGAAACAGAGTATGTTGTGGGATATGATTTTGGCTAAGGCTTCAGCCTCTATCCACTTAGTGAAGTAGTCGATGCCGACTATTAAGTACTTGTTTTGGTATGACCCTATGATGAAGGGCCCGAGGATGTCCATCCCCCACCAGGAAAATGGTCATGGGGATGAGAGCGTTTTGAGCTCATTAGGGGGGTCCAGGTGCATGTCCCTGTGTCACTGGCATTTGTCGCACTTCTTGACATGCTCTTTGGTGTCTTGCTGCATGGTGGGCCAGTAGTACTCCGCCCGTAATACTTTATGGGCTAGGGATCGTCCGTTGTGGTGTTGCGTGTTGATCTCTTCGTGGATCTCCTAGAGTATGTTAGGGACCTTAGACTCCTCGACGAATTTGAGGAGGGGGATGGAGAAACCCCACTGGTATAACTTGTCCTCGACAATGGCATACGAGCATGCACGTCACCTGACTATGCTAGCCTCCTTGGGGTCGTCGGGTAGCTTCCCCGTGCTGAGGTATTCGTATACCGGGGTCATCCAGCAGTGGTCGTCATCGATGGCGTTTACATCGACGATCGAGATGGGTTTCTCGATACTTGGTCGTGGAAGGACTTCTTAGATGACAGATTGGTTCCCGCCTTTTTTCTTCGTGCTCGCCAGCTTAGATAGGATGTATGCCCGGGTATTGTGTTCGCGCGGGACGTGACTTACTTTCGCCGGGACAAATTTTTTCATCTTCTCTTTTATTAGGGCCAAGTACTCGATGAGGGTGTCATTCTTGGCCTGATACTCTCCCCGCACCTGGGGGGCCACGAGCTGGGAGTCGTTAAATATTTTTACCTCTTTCGCGTCGAGGTCCTTGGCCAGGCGTAGTCTGGTGAGGAAGGCCTTGTAATCGACCTGGTTGTTTGATATCAGAAAGAATAATGTGAGAGAGGCCTCAATCAAGATGCCTTCCTCTTTTTCTAGGATGACGCCTGTTCCGCTTCTCGTTGAACTGGATGCCCCGTCGATGTAGATCGTCCACTTTTGGGATCCGTCAATCGAGGGTTCCGGTGTGGTCATCTCTGCAACAAAGTCGGCTAATACTTGAACCTTCAGGGCCTTTCTACCCTCGTGATGGACGTCGAACTCGGTGAGCTCGAGCGACCATTTGAGCATCCTGCCCGCCATGTCAGGTCGGCCGAGGAGCTTTTTCACATATTGGTTCATCGTTACCACAATCGTGTGGGACAAAAAATAGTGTTGCAGCCTTCTGGCCGCACTGACAAGGGCCAGAGCAACCTTTTCGATCTTTTGGTACCTAAGCTTGTGGCCTTGGAGGGCTTTATTGGTGAAGTATATCGGCTTTTGTCCTTCAAGGGTTTCTCTGCTAAGAGCTGCACTGACCGCCTCGGTCGTGACGGCGAGGTAAAAGTATAAAGTCTCCCCATTTTCTGGTTGTGAGAGGATTGGGGGCTGCGAGAGGTGTAACGTCCATTTTAATTATTCGAGTTTTTTGATGTATTTATTTTCGGCATGCTTGCGTGGAATTTGTTTGAGAAATTAAGATCCATAATATTAGAAAAATATGATTAATAATAATGATAATATGATGATTAATAGTGTTGTTACTATTATTATTAATATTATTGTTATTATTATTGTATTTAAAAATATTATTGGAATTAATTTTGGATTAAAAGAAAATAAGAATTTTAGTTTTGGAATTAAAAAGAGGATTATTTGGGATGAAGGGCATGTTTGGCATTTGGAAAAAGGGAAAGAGGAGAACACGATAGAAGTGGAACAAGAGGAACGGTAGAAGAGAAGAGCGATCAAGAGTGGGCAAGCTTGAGCAAGAGGTGGATGATCAAAGTTGTGGATTACGGATTCTTCATCATCAAAATTGCATTTTGAGGTAAGGTAAGGGGGGGGGGGGGGGGATGATCAGTTAATTTCGGTAGTTGCATGAAATATGTGGTAGGAAGGGGAATTCCCTAACCCTATGATTGATGGTGAATTTCATGATATATTGTGTTGTTGATTCTGTTGTTAATTGATGTCTGAGTGTTGAAAATCCTTGCATGCAATGGTTGATGATGATTTGAAGGAATGGGGGTTTCCGGGTAGTTCGAAGTTATGACGGAACTGAGTAATTGTGTAGAGCTAACAATTAATCAGGTTAAATCGAGGATAGATGTTGTAGTTAGGTTGTGGAACAATTGTCTGGTATGATGGGGTTTGGCTTGGAGTAGAATCGGCTGAGTTCGGAGCGTGTTGCCGACTCTGAGTTGTGGCTTTATTTTTCTGAAATCGCAGGTGTTCGTTGGGCGAATGAGGGGGCGAGCCTTCGCCAAGCTTCGTCGGGCGAACTGGGCAGCAAATGCTGCTAGTAGCCTCTGTTTGGATTTGCCAGGCGAATGGTCAGCGAGTGTTCGCTGCGGGGTTTCGCCAGGCGAATGTGCCAGCGAGTCCGACAACAGTTTGTGTTTTGCTGTTGTTCTATTTTGATTCCTTTGTGGTTTTGGACCCTTGTTGGTCATTTTCGCTCAGTCATGTTTGATGGTGAGCTTATTGGTGAGCTTATTAGTGAGCTGTGGTGAGTGTATGTATAGTGCCGGAACATGATTCTGTGATATCCATGTGATTATGATATTTGAATTGGTGTATGTTATGATGTATGACTGTGGTGATGGGTGAGACATATTTGATATATGAAAAATTGTGATCAGTAGGATCGTGTGCACCTTGTGTGCTTAGGTTTGTGTGTTGTATGACGATGGATCAGTAGGATCGTATGCACCTTGTGTGCTTGATGTGTATGTGATATATGATGAAATGGATCAGTAGGATCGTGTGCACCGTGAGTACTTGTGTTGTTGTGCATGGTGTCTGCATAGCATGTGGACGGGATGGAATCATGGCTCAGATGGGGCGTATGTGATTCACCCGTGCTCCAAATGGGGAGCATGGACGGGAGTTGAATCGTTGCTCAGATGAAGTGTATGTGATTCACCCGTGCTCCAAGTGGGGAGCGTTGGTAGGGATAGACCGTTGCTCAGATGGAATGTATGCGATCTATCCTGAGATTTGATTATATGGGCTCAGGAGGAGTGGGGTAGGGATAGATCGTTGCTCAGATGGAGTGTATGCGATCTATCCTGAGTTGAGTCGATACCGCATATCATTGTGTCGAGTTGCATGTGTTGCATTATGATGTGTGCTGTGTCGGCATGGGACAGTAGGTCCGAATTTGATGTATATGAAAGGATGTTTATATGTTTATGCCTTTTATTTCATGTACATTATTACTGTTATATTTGATCATGAATTCTCATGTATATGATGATGTATGTGTATATATATATATATATATATATATATATATATATATATATATATATATATATATATATATATATATATATATATATATATATATATATATATATATATATATATATATATATATATATATATATATATATATATATATATATATATATATATATATATATATATATATATATATATATATATATATATATATATATATATATATATATATATATATATATATATGTTTATGACAGATTCATTTTCCGCTGCAATTTTGTTGAAAATCATTTTTAAGAAATGTCTTATGGAATTTTGGTGAAAATGTGACATCCCGTTTTCGGTGTGGAAACTCTGATGATTATTTATTTAATTGTTTTATTTTATTTTGGG